TATATATATATATATATCTTAATTTGAATTATAGTTGAGTGTTTGACAAGCTAATTGTTGTCCACTGCAAGAGGTCAATTAGAGCTAGTCCCTACTGGTTGTCTAATGGAGCCATATGCTCTCTTGGCTGGAGTGAGTGCTCTCTCCTAATCAGTGAACAAAAGGGGGAGCAATAACTGACTCATGAGGCCATTGCCAGTTCATCAGTTATATAGTGGGCGGAAGAAAGAAAGGTAATCTGTTATGATCATTTCTCCTCTCAGGTATGTTGGTAGCTACACTGAATTTGGGCCAATATGTGGAAATGTGCTTCTGACAAAGCTCCTTGAACTATAATTTATAGTTACATAACTCTATGAGATAGACTAAGGATGTGGCAGCTGGCCAGTATACATAATGAATATGGTGACTGGATAGTCGGTGTCCTCGCCTGCCCATCATTAACGCTGACCTCTGGGTATCCAAGAGCGGGGTTGAGTACCTTACAATTCCTCTCCCTGCCAGTGTGCCTCACTGTAAATGTCTAATGACTGCTCCGTGAGGCGTCCTGCTCTACATGCTGGGTATTCTGCTTCGTCTTGTCTGCAACAGGTGGGGGCGACAGTAAACTAAACCTCCAGCAACAAGAGAGAAAGTTGTGTTCAAGGTAAAAAAAATAAATAAAGGAAAAAGAAAAGTAGAGCAAAAAAAAAAAATCCCTTTATGCCACTGGCAATTGCATGGGTGTTTGGTTGGCTGCAATCGGTCTCCAAGACATGTTTAGTAACACAGAAATGCTGCTTAGCAACATCAGGGAAATACCAACCCGGGAAAGAAACACAATACAATAGTAAAAATGCAAACTAATGTCTTAAAAGGTTACATATAATCTCAAAACGCAAACAACTGTTAAACTTAGTTATATCTCCACGTTTGGAATTACTCCCCGCCTTGCAAAAACCAGACAAAATTTAATTAGCTCAGGTTTCTCTACAAGATTTGAGTCTGGAAAACATTGACAATGGACTGTGCTGAGCAGCTGGAAGCCAGACCAATCAGCAAACTATGGGAAGAGGTTTGGATGACGATTAGAACAAGCAGAGATTTCACTGGGCACTCGTGCTATGCTTCTCAACTACTGAAGCTTGAGAGGAATTACTTAGGGGTTGTAAATATAAAATGAAGCATGACTGCCTGGCCTATTAGTACAGACTATTTAGGTGAAGCTTGTCTTTTTCCAAACAGCCACCGTGTCTTTCCACAGTGGCAAAAGGGCAACCAATCAAGACATGTTGAGTACAGTTTCATAATGATGTTTCAACACTGATCCAACCATCTTCAGGCTCATTTCTGTGGATGACACACCCACGTAAATGCTATTAAGCCTTTCCCATTCTTAATACAGAACGAGCAGAGAAACTCTCATGCTGCTCTTGGCTCTCTTAATTTGCAGCTGAATAGTACATTATAGGATGTGTTGATTTATCACCACAATAGTGTGACTACCCTAGACAAAACAATCACTGCATTCTTGGGGTTAGTCTGGGCCTGCACAAAGCTCCTCAGTCACACGATCCTTTAGCTCGACAAACAGCAGGAAATGTTTGATTTCACGTGTTTCTGTTGTAACAACCAACCACTCTGAAGACCACAAATCAGGGCTACGATATCCAAATATGACCTATGATATAGTCATAGGGGGGGAAAAACTCCTAAATGCAACATTTACCTGCACAATAAGCTGTTAGCATAGGCAAAATGTCAGCAAGTCCAGTAATGTGTTATGTTGAATTAAGTGCTTGTAGTCAAGGTTGGAGAAATCAGGGAAGCACACGTTGTGACTGATAACTTTAGACCCAATCAGGAAGCTAACGTGTGGGTCATTGCTTCATACTTCTCTGTTTTAGAGGTTAAAAAATGCCAGAGTATTGGCAGCCTAGGTGTAAACGGAGCAAAAG